GCATATGGTAATGGGGAACACAATAACCCCACCCCTTTATAAGCAGGTCCTTAAGCTTGACGGGCTCAGGCCACCCTGACCATTCAGCATGTCACCATGCTGACGCAGATGGAAATTCTTTGATTCCGTTTTCGCCTGTGTGACAGGATGTGGAGTGGAATGCCAGCTCGTCCCAGCTTCCCTGTCCCAGGACTGTATACACGTATGGAATCCGATCCAACGTGCCCATCCCATTTACTGGCAGGACAACAGGAAAGGATGACAGCAAGGCAGGAGCTGTTTTTAAGTTATACCCCCCACATCCCCATGAGTGGAAAACATCAAACTAGGCCTTGTTCAAGCTTCCTTTCCCCTAGGAGTAGGATTGAAGTGGATAAGGGAAGACCTTCCAAGACTTGCAGCCTTGAGTTTTGTTTTGTTCATATCAAGACTCCAAACCAGTTCAAGGAACAAAATGAAAACTGGAAATGAACAGTAGTTTGCTAGGAACAAAAACAAGACCAGAAAAGGAATTATCCTGAGCTTGCTATGTGAGAAAAATAGCTTAGCTACTCAGTGATGGGTTTTTTGATGAAGTAGCTTAAAAACTACTTTTTAATCTTGTTCTGACATATAGGGATAGGGATGTTATGTTGGTGTTGGAACACAAGTTTGGAAACATCAAAGTATTAGTACTGCTCTGAGTGAACCAATGTTTTTTATTTTGAACCCTGGTTCTTGTGCAGGTCTGCAGTGGTTTATTAATGGGCGCTGGTCTTAGATTACTGCAAATGGGCAACTCCTACATAGAGAAAAATCATGAGGCCTAATAAGAATTCCTAGCACCTACAAGGCTATTCTGTTATGGCAGCCGCTTTGGTGTATAACTGTCTCATGTCAGTGATGCCAGCCAACGCTATGACACACGACTCCCAGCGGTCACTTATCTGTCAGCGCTTAAATACTAACCCAGTACAGTTAATTACTCCAGGGGTCATTTCGTAATGCACTACATTCTATCAAACTTGCTGGCAGTTCATGCTGAGAACCATCCAGTCATGTGACTCCTACTGTGATCTGAAACCTCAAATGGCATTAAGGATGGAGGATTTAGTGCACTTTCTCCTTAATTAAATTACTAAATAAAGATTTTTGGCATGCAGTACTTGGAAATTGTAGAGGGTGACTTAGTGGAAGCATTTAATAAACGAAAATACAGTGTCCTTACTTGTATGCTAGGTATGTTTAAAATATACGATATCGCAACTAAAAGGAGTTTATCTGTACAGTTCCTTTCGGGAAAGCAGTGTCTGTTTTTTTTGGAAAACATTAGTAAAGTAGCTTCTCGTTGAGAGGAAGCATGCAGTTTTCAGATAACGCTTGCTGTTCCTGGATTCATGACTACACACAAGCCTGTTGATCTTGGCTACCGGTGACACATCCAAAAAGCCATATATGCTTGAACTTTTTACCAGCTTTTCTCAAATTACAGAACTGTATAAAAGTTGTTTTTTTAATGCAAAACCTTGAGAACTGGACACAGTGCTCTAAAAGACAAAAATCTTCTTGAAACTCTGTCTACATCTACTGTTAAGCCATTTAATGCCTTGTTGTATATCACAGTGTCTGCCTCAAAAGCAAGAGTCTCTGGTTATTTACTTGGGGTGTCAATGAGAGGTGGTGTGCACAGGCAGGATGATATAGTCTGTGGGTTTGAGGCACTGGAGGAGGCTCTTGTGAAGGACATTCACTACTTGTTCTCCAATATTTGATTTAAAGTCTACCATGTTTCATAGCCTTTGAGTGGGGGTTTAGGTTTAGCTCTACAAAAGTAGCTTTGTTGTTCACGTTTGCCCTTGTTTCTGCCCTTTTCAGTCTCGTTCTCTTTCCATTTGATTTGTGACGTCTCTTTCTTTAAACTTGGTCTGTTTCACATCCTTTCTCTGTCCCTGTTTCCCCCTTGTCCTCCCTTTCACTCTGTGTACTAAAAATAGCCAGTTATCAGAATCTGGCAGGGTCGAGGACAGCCAAGCTCACACAGACTTTGGAGTTGTCCAATCCAAGTCTTTAAATAGTTCCTTTTGTGTCCTCTTTAATTAATGGATTGTCTTGTTTTATGAGTTCTTTTGTTTCATTGCTGCCTGGGTATGCCCGAACTGGAACTGTCATCAATGCCAACTGGGTGACAAGTGTAAACTGACCGAATGAATCATGCTTGCTCTTCATACAGCCACCCAAAGCCTTATTTTCTCCCAAGCGTCTGCATATACAAACACTCTGAAAATGGCACCATGGTTACACTTTGCTAAGTCCAGTAGTACCAGTTGACCATTTTTCTTGCATTGTGGTGCCCACATTCAGTGAACCTTCAACCACTCAATCGTGAATCGTGCATTGATATTGTAGGATTGATTCTCTTGCACTTTTATATGTCCCTTTGGGACATTTGGGACATTATGCTGTCGCTGATGTTTTTGTATTATCTTATACAGCACAACTCTTTCCAGCTAAATACTTTGCGTTCAGACCTATGATTCACTGCATGTTATCGAGGTCGGATAAGGGGTAACACCCTAGAATCTTTGTAGTTTATATGGGTTTTGTTAGGCCCAAGAGCAGCAAGATGAGAATATGCAGAAATGGCCCAAAATCCAGGGCCAAGTATTAGTCACCCTAGTGAAAATAAGACCGTTCAAACACCATTGTGTGCCTAAATTTGTTCACTCTATCCAAAGAGCAGTCAGGGATTTTGAGCGGCCCTTTGTTTCTAGGTTGCTGTCCAGTTTTTGTGATCACAACAATATTATCATCAGTCAGACTGAAAGTGTTCTTCCTGTGGAGCAGTCTAAGGCAATGGTCTGACATTGCTAGTTTACTATTGTTTACAATACTACATAGTGAATGAAATCTCTCTATTGTGTGTGACCTAATAGCAGATTGCTGTTATTTACTACTATCAATCGATTAAGACTACTATAACTGACAAGACTAGTTTAGTGTTCTAGATACACAAAAGCTTCAGTCTTGAGACTTTCAAGGACACTGTATCTACAGAGTGTGTTATCTGGTCATGTTAAAGTTTTAGGTTCTATAAATAGTTTTTATTCAAATTCAAACATAATGTAATAAACATTAATGAAGTAAGTTTTTTCCATATTCCACAAGCATAACGTCACAAGCACTAAAATGATTTTGTTCATGTAAATCGCAGACCAGTAGTCTGCTAATAGAGACAAATTTCTATAACACTCTCTGGAGCTTTGGTGTATTTTTCACCTTTTAATGACAAAGCGTTCTCTGTAAAACTGTTGGTGTGGTCTGCCTGGCTACATCATTCACCCACACAAGTGGATAAATGTTTTAAATATGAAGGTGATATATAATTTAGGAATGTGTGTCCTGATTCTGGCTGTGATGGATGCGTTTAAGACAGAGAGGGAACGAAAAAAAGAAAAGGAATATAGAGTTTTAATGGCTCATGTCCTGACCCAGCCGGTTGCAGGACATTTTATTAACCTGACTGATGGTGAAGCAAGAATCAAGCCAACCAATCAATCTATTAAATCCCCTCTCTGACAGAGTCATTGGAGAGAGCTCAAGGGAGAGCAAAAATATTACTCTTCTATTACTCTTTATTCTTTAGTTAACAAATATTGTGATTGCAATCTCATGTGACTGAAAGCCACCCTGCATTAGCAGTGTCACAGCTTTCAGCAGATCCATATTTGAGCTCTGCAGTTCACTTTACTGCTGTTTTCCGTAAAACGTAACTTGCTACTTTTGTTGTCATAAAATACAAGCACATGCAGGCTGCTACTAAAAATAACCAAGGTTGACACATGATGAAGTCATGGCTGAGACCTCTCACCTCTCTGGACCTTTTATATCAAGCGTGCAGAGAGAATACTAAACAGCCATATGGCTCCAAGGAGATGGAGGATGAGGCCTGACAGGCATGTTCTGACTGTAGCTCTGTGAAAAAAGTAATTGTCACTACAAAGACAGCTTCAATAGCACAGTGCTTACACAATCCAGAGAAGCATGGAATTACCAATTGAAATGAAATCATAATGTCTGTGTGTAAGAGAGAGAGAGAGAGAGTCTGTCCTGTGGTTTGGAAGAGATGAAGTGGTCTGTGTTCGCATAAATTCACTTGTTAATTTATTTCTTTTGCATCTGTGGCCTTAGAATCTTTGTCTCATCACAAGAATTTAGTCAATGTATCCATCTAGACTAATCCTCACATTGCCCAGTGGGACAGCTTTTTTTGGCCTGAAGCACAGCACTCCTATTGTAACCCCCTATACACTGCTCTGGAACATTCCCTGCACTGCAGGGGCATTGTCATCAATTGTAACAAGTGCCCCCATGTTTGTGTTGGTGTTTGCTGATTATTCTAAAACCGACAATAAAACCTTTCACCAGTATCCCTGTTCACATAAGGCCTGTGGTATACAAGCCATTCTATAGACCACTCTGGAATGATAGGTTGTATGGCTTTCTGATGCTGCTCAAATGCCAGTTGACTATTTTCTACTGAAGCACTATGGTTACAATATGGAGAGGCAGTGCCTGGTAGCCATTTGAATATCATAATACAAAACATCTTCTGTCCAGTCACAAGCTGAATGAACGACCTCTCACACTGATACTTTGAGCCTTGAACAATGACATGAAATGAAAGGCTGCATTGTCCCTTATATTTTGTAGCCCAAGTGACCATGAGGAATGATTCTTTTCTAAATGGTAGTTTAAATAAAAACTGGTACTGCTACAAAAATGTTTTAATAGAAATTGAGTTTTTAATCAACAGAAATATTGTTTCATTGTTTAAGAAGAAAGTCTAACCCTAACCCTACTTATTTTGTTTCCCAAACAAATAATTCTAAAACTGTCACATATATGTAAACTGCTTGAATGAAAAGGCCATTCATATTTCAACACCTCAGACGCTTGGCTTGTTCATCACATCCATCCATGAAAAGATCTTAAGCAGTAAAACTTGCTTTGTCTCTCTACAGGTATCCAGTCAGGCAAAAAGTCAGGGATACCTGCTCCCCGGGAAATCCCCCAGACCATCTCCAGAGACCGTACCTCACTACGGGACCAGCTAAAAACCTCTAGTGCCAAGAAGTTGATCCCTAGTGCCAGCACCTCCAGCCTGTCCACTCTAGCTAAGCACTCCCGTGGTTCTGTCAAGACAAAGACAGAAGCTGAGAGCGCAGACAAGGCCCTCTTGGAATGCCAGGTCAAGGAGCTGCTAGCTGAGGCCAAAGCCAAAGAATTTGAGATCAGCAAGTTGCGGATGGAACTGCAGCGATGCAGAGGCAAAAGGCTCACCTCAGGAAGCTGGCACACCAGATGGGACCTCAGATGGGGAGCAAGCTCAGCCACACCCCCCAGACTTTCAGATATTAGTTGGAGAGTTGAAGGAGAAGAATGGACGCTTCCAGAGGGAGCTGGCTGCTTTACGGGAGGAGAACCAAGCCTTGAAGGAAAAGCTGATCTCATTGGAGACCTCTCCAGTCTCCAGTGGTAGTACCACTGCAACTTCCACATCACTAACTTGTCCAACCACAACCTCCACTTCACTAACAAGTCCAGCCAAACCTTCTGTTAATGGGGTTCTCCCTGAGAGTATCAGCACCGAAATGGGAACAAGTGGGCCACTTAATGGCAGTCCAATCAAAACCTCTGTATCATCCGGTAGTGACCTCACCAAAGGTTCTCCATCACCTTCCCCAGACTCCTCAGAGTTTGAGAAGATCCCATCTCGCTCAGATTCTGTCAGCAGTAGCACCAAGGGTGTTGCTCCAGGGACCATGGAACGAGATCTGTCGGTGGAGTGCTTGACAGAGCGCATCCAAAAGATGGAGGAGAGCCACCACAGCACGGCAGAGGAACTCCAGGCTACCTTGCAGGAATTGGCCGATCAACAGCAGGTTGTGCAGGAGCTAACAGTAGAGAACGAGCGACTGGCTGAGGAGAAGGGTCTTCTTCAAACCTCGCTACAGCAGCAGAGGGAACGCGTGGAACTCCTGGCCCAAAAGAATGAGGCCCTGCTTCAGAGGCTCCGAGAGCAAGCCCAGAGTCAAGAAGCTGAGGCCACACGTGTGTCCAGGATGGCAGAGCTGGAGCAGCGTCTGGCTGAGCAGGTAGAGAACTCACGTTTTGAGAGGGAGAAGCTTGTGGATATTCAGCAGCAACTGACCGGGAGCTTGAGAGCTTTGGAGAAGGAGCATCAGGAGGCCCAGGCGACTGCGAGAAGTTTGAAAGAAGAGCTGGAGCTCCTCCAACAGCAGCTGGAAAGGGAGAAGGAGGCTGGAGTGAAGGCAGCAAGGCTGGCAGAGGAAGAGCATCAAGCCATGGAGGCTCTGAAGGCAGAGAACGAGCGTTTGAAGGGCCAGGTGGAGACAGAGAGGCAGAAGGTGGTGGAACTCAAGGCGGTACAAAGTGCAAGCAACAGCACAGAGCTGCAAGCCTTACTCAAAGCAGCTCACGCAGACAGAGACAAGCTGGAGATCAGTTGCTCCGAGCTGAGGCAGGAGTTGCTGCTGGCAAACAATGAAATGGAGCATCTTCAGGGCATGCTTAACAAGGTAGGTGTCTCTACCTTGACCATGAAAGTAATGCTTTGGAGAATGAAATTTATATATCAGCCAAGTAATGTTTTGTGTCTGACATCAGAGACCCACGCCAAATCTTGCTAAATGCATTACTCCTCTTCCCTTTTTCCCAGGCTCATAACCAAGTTATCATCACCTTCTCTAAAACTTTCTTTCTACATTATTATATACTTGAATGCAGGTCCCTGCAGACTTGTCATTGTGTTACGTCCAATCATAATCCAGTTGTTCTCCATGTCTCTTCTAAACTCCCGCTTTATCATTTTCTCTTTCAATTACTGCTTAGCAACTGTTTCACTGTCTGCCATTACTTTGGTTAAACTCTCAGGTTTTTTTAGCAGTGAGCTAGTGTTCCTTTAAATGTACTTTGAATCTTAAACAAGACCTGACACTTAGACAGAGTAGAAGTTGCCCATTTCGAAAGCCAATTAGCCCACCCAAGTTAAAGAAATAAGTTGCGTCGTCCTTGTTGGTAGTAATCTGTGAACTGCCAACTTCCGTGCATAAAGTCATTAGAGCTAATATATAAATAAAGAACATTTTCTACGCCCAGTGTGACGGTATGCTTTAGCGTAGGATGCTTAACAAGTTGGTATTTTAAGTTTGTTAATGCTTTTTGTCTTTGTCATGTACATTTTAGTTGTCATTGTAATATGTGTCGTCTTCATTGGGGTAGATGTTTTGCTTGTCAAGAGCGAACACATGTTTTATAGGGAAATGTTGCATTGGTTTATGGGTTTATGTTAAACTGTTTTCTCGTAAATGTGTACATAATCTTGCTATTGTTTTGTCTCAATTGGAAAAGAATCCAACACCGTGGTTAGTGTGCTGCCATAATGGTGCTGCGTATCCTTCATGTAACAAAAAAACATGACCACCCTGAAAAGGTATCCAGGTAGGGGCCCACCAGACATTTGTGGCCAAGGGCGACAAATTCAGACCTGCTTGAATGGGTTATCAATGTATGACAATGAAGTCTGAATCAGTTAAATTTATAAGCCCAATTGCATTAAAAGAAAAGGACGGAATAGATTACCCGTGCAATTGTTGTAAAAAAGTTTATTCCCAGCCACACATAGAGCCCCCATCCAGGAACTCTTTACTAAAACAAGATGTTCTGTTCCTCACTGTTAGCATTTTGCCTGACTAACAAAGCCTTATGGGAGGATGTGCCTTGTTTTGTGCCAGTCACTCCCTCTTTGCAGGAAATCTTCTGTACTGGATATGATCCAAGGAAAAAGTAGACTATACTGTAGCAAAACACTACACAGAGGGATCCGAACATAAAATGTAGATCAAATAAAGGTCATTAGTGTTGTCCTTAAACTACTTGGAGGCATTTAAGAGCTGGAAAAGAACCAGCTGTTGCTAGAGGATAGTTTCGTAACTTTTCTCTCCAGCACTCTACAACTCTCTACTCAACCCTTTACTCTAAATGGACCTTCCCTGTCACAAAGGTTATTTTCAGACGTCAGGAAGGGGTGGGAGGTATATGAGTATAAAAGTGTTTGTCTTTATTCCATTTTATGATTTTGTCATATCATGGATATAGGCCTGTGCTGAAAACAGAAATCTCTTACATGGATAACTGCACTAAACATTCAAACTAGGTTTCAGGGCAGGAGTTGTCGATCTCAGAATTACTTACGAAAACGTATTATTATTATTATTATTATTATTATTATTATTTTTATCACTGATAATGGATCCAGGAGCATATATATACATACAGATTACTACTGCGAATAATTATAGTAATAATAATAATAATAGCAACTTTTTTTTTTTGGTAATTTTGAGACGGCCTCTAACTCTGAAGCGGACGCAGGAGCAAGCACAGCGAGAGTATGTAAATTGAAGTTCAATCTTTGTCAAATACAGAACATAATAAACACACAGTTCAGTAAAAGTTGTGGTTCTTTATGCTATCATCTTTAATTTGGTCAGGAAGCTGTAATTAATCTAGTAATAAAGAACAGAATTGTGAATGTTACAGGTACCGTCCAATGCCAAGGTCTTTGTAGCCGCTTTGCTTTGCCTCATTGTACAAGATTTGTGAGCTGAAGCCGTTTTGTCTGTCTGAAACCTGATGCTGTGATCTAGGCATGTCCTGTGAGCGTCCTATAGGTATAATATCTGCCTGCATTGCCGAGCGTGTTTAATCAATGTTGGGTACAATAAATGTTGTAGTAATGTAAGATATTACTCAACGTTTGAAAGTTCAGCTATGTTCATTTATGGGAATACCAGTGTCTTGCTATGGTGTGCATGAAATAAGTCAATAAAGGACTGACAGGTTTTTAAGCAAGCAATAAATGGGTTTTTACCATCACTGGGGGCTATTACTCGGTTAACTGTCATCTAGCAGAAGCCTACATGGATACCATGATAAGCCCTGAGCTAACAACAAACAATACTATGCAACTTACCTTGTCCAGCAAACGTCAGCAGCCTTTTCCGCCACCTCAAAACCCTGATTGTGCATAGGTGTAAAGAAGTTAGAGTTCATGCAACATTTGCTCAATAAAGTTGCTTGATTTGCTTGATTAGGTGCATTTGTGTCATTTGTTTGGTTTTATGAGGTTAAGAAGGAACATTTAACTATTTCATAATGTTGAAGACCTTATAATATTTTCCATATTAATAATATGAGAAGTTTTTGCTTGCTTGCCCACTGTCACTGCATAATGATGTAGATACATGATCCTGAAACTAAAGAGCTTGGTTTTAGCTAGATAATAGAAGAAGAATCCAGGAAAGGAAAGGAAAGGAAAGCCTGGTGCTGAGGAAAGAGAAAGTGAATAGCACATCTGTGTAGCACATCAACAGCCTTTTGTCACTTCTGTAGCACTTTTTAAGGCTTATTCATTACGAAGTAGGTTCATGGGCTGCCTGTATATGTAGCTTATAGTAGTTTTCCTCCTGGAAAACAGACTGATGATGGGAATTGTTAGTGTGAGCTTTGAGGTGTGCATACTCTACATGCACACATGCATGCATACCTGCATAAACACATTCACTGTTAACCACAGCTAAGTATCTGTTTGATGTAAGAGAGTATTGTAGTGACCTGCTACTTGCCGTGGACATGTGGGAGGCGTGGCCATGTGGAGCAGTGATGCACCGAGCCTCACTGTAGTGCTGGACTCGCAGTAAGAGAGACTTTAATGTGTAAATATGTTGTTGCTGAGTAGTTTGGGATGTGCAGCAATGTTGTGTGTGCTATTTTGTGCTGGGCCATGGGGAATTTAGGTGAGTCTGCCTATCGTGGACTAGAGTTTTTATTGTTGACTTTTATTGTTGACTTGCCTGCTTCTCAGTCGTATCAGCCAGCACTGAGCAGTGGTTCTCCACTGTGTCATATTGGTGTCAGATGTGGGATGCGCCCCCAGTGTTCTGGAGGAGAATGGCACTTCTAAGAACTCTATGAATAATGAGCCCAGCCGAGGAGAGAATTCACTTACTGCATTGTGTTTCCTGCGACAGTGGAAACATGTTTCTCTGACAAACTAACATGTCTTTGTATACTAAGGAGAAAATATCTCTTGTAAGATGACAAATCCTCAATATCATCCAGTGTTCGACAAGTTGGCTGTAGTTCCAGCTCATATCTGAAGAGGCAGCCTGCATTACTCATCCAACACGAAAAAACTAACAATTTCCTTCAGCTTTTTTTTAAACATGTTTTAAAATGTATTCCTTTACTTGATGCTAAATTTCCATGCTACTGATTTTTAGCCTCTTAACACCAGTGATAAGTTTTCTGCTCTGATCCCACAATTTCAACTGAAGTACATTTTCTCCTTCACCACGGTTAACTGGATATCATTAACTCTTGTGGATACATAAGTATCAAATTTGGTCAGAATGTCCCTTCCTTGTTTTCCCTTCCTTTCGTCTAATGTTTTTGTTTTAATTATTATGAGACAAGGCAAACAGAACTCTCCATGTGAAAAAGCTAGTAGAAGGTGCCATAGTCCACAAGGGTTACTGCAGTCAGCCACAATGCACATTTTACTCTTTGATGTTTCAGCATGGAATACTTGAAAATTAAAGAGTAACTCCCATAAACGCACTAAAGAAAACCTCTGGCATTGCCTTTTTGGCCATTGCGAATGGTGTTGTGGTTATACAGTTTGAAGTTCGCATCATCCTTAAAATGCAAAGATACACAGAAGTAACAGTTATGAGTCTTGTAGGACATGAACATCAGTAGCACCTCATTGCTGTCCCAGCACATGAACTCAGTACACCCTCCAAGGAGGAATGAACCCTGGCTTTAATGAGTCCTCTAAACCACTTCCAGTGAACCAAACCCTGTGGCTTGAGCCTTGTCCTCAGAACTGTTTTAGAGAACTCTTAGAGGTCGTCCATTGCACTTGGTCATAACCAAGTGCAATCCAAAGGCCATTTAGTTAAAAGTTGTACTTGACAATGTTCAGAAGGGGCGAGGCCCACACTGACTGAGAAGTTCATGTCAAGCCTAAAGGTTCTGTTCTGTTCTTTTTCGGGTGGTCCAGCTGTAATGTTACTCATGCCCTGGCCAGCTTCACAGCGCTCTGAGGATGAGGTAGCCACTCTGGCATCATTAAACTCAATGTCATGGCTTTGCAGTGGAACGCTTTAACACAACATGTTTTGATTTGATTTGATTGATTCTGATGGTGGCGTTAGGAGTGTCAAACTGGCTGATGTTTCTTCTTTGTGTAAAGGAAAGTTTTGAAAATATATCCCTAGTCATGTCACATAGATTTTTTATTTTTTTTATTTAATTAAGTTCAGTTATAAAAAAATTGCTGAAAATGTACCATCTTGACAAATCGTTTGCAGTTTGCACAACGATAATGCAGATGTTTAATTCTCCTACTGATTCTCTCTTACAGTAAGCCTATCAAAGTATCAAAAAGCCTTCATTTTTATCAAAGCCTTCATTTTTCCATAATGTGTTTAGTAAAGAGCTGTGCATAGTTTGTTACTGTTTAGTGCTCATGTTTACTGTCAGGCTTTATGTTTGCCAATGTCAAAAAAATGGGTAGATCATTCCTACTCAGAAGCTTTCTTCGTGTTCCCTCATACAGTCACACAGACAGAAAAGATGTAGATCTAGAGCCACTTCGCATGTAGGCGTAATTACCTATGAACGGCTGAGACAATAATGAGAGGGGAGCAGCCTGTGCTGTGCTTTGGTCTAATGCAACAGTATGCGTACACCATAAGCATGGGATGGGCAGTTATGACGTACTGTGAACGGTTGTGACAATATTTATTGAGAAAAACAATGAGCACACAAGTCCTGTCTTGCATGATTGTTTTAAAAGCATTTACCTGTATGCATGCACTTTTGTGAACTTTAGTGGTACGTCATGGCATGCATCCTCAGTCATCCTCAGTTGGACACAAGGATGGCATTTCATGGGAATGAGCTGTTTTACTTTAGCTTAATGACGCAAATAGTATGTCTGTTATGTCTAGTTATGGCTAATTTGAACTAGGGCTTGACTGATATACTGATAAAGAGAAAGGAAAAAATGTAAGAAAAGTAAGAAACCAATAACCACCACAAATGCTGGGAAGATCCACCCCTGCACTCCAGTGTTTGTTATTGTTCCTTGGTTTGAATTTAAGAAATTAGACAGTTGCTATTTGACCATTTACAGTTGAGTAATATTAGTCATTATAGCATGTTTAACCAAACATGTTTAACTAATTGGACTATCTGGAGATAAATTATATCAGTCCAGATTAACAGAATTTTTAGCTTAATTTTTAATATTGGCCCTAATTTGGACAGTTAAGTACTATACATTCTCATTATTTGGTCCTGCTGCTGAAACTAAATGAGGGGCAGTTAGTCTTTAAATGTGTAATCAGTTGTGATTAGCCATAATTAGGTGTGCCTGTCACTAAGCTCCAGGATGACGATGAGTGAGATTCCCATAGTATTCTATCAGGTCAGTCTGTGGCCCGTAGGTGTCCTATCAGGTCAGTCTGTGACCCGTACGTGTCATAACAGGTCAATCTGTGGCCCATAGGTGTCCTATCAGGTCAGTCTGTGTCCTGTGTCCTATCAGGTCAGTCTGTGGCCCATAGGTGTCCTATCAGGTCAGTCTGTGTCCTGTGTCCTATCAGGTCAGTCTGTGTTTCGTAGTTATCTTATCAGGTCAATCTGTAACCAGTAGGTGTCCTAATAGATCAATCTTTGGCCCATAGGTGTCCTTTTACATCAGTCTGTAAATGATCCTCATTGTGTACCTCATTATGCATGTAGTTTTATGGAAACAGTTATTCTATAACAGTGTCAGGTCATTCTTAAACCAATTCTTTCTGCTCATATTTACTTATTCAGATATAAATTTATCAATCATTTTGTCACTCATCTTTAGTTTTTTCCTATTTTCTTATTTTTCTGATATATTTTTTGCTTCTGAAATTTTTCTTTTGCTTCTGATTTTTGGCACTTTTAACAGCGGCTTAGAAAAGGGCATTCACCTGCGTTCTCAATAAGTCAACTGATTTGGAGTGATAGGTCTTCTGAACATGTGGCCACGCTCACTTTGAGAGCCATGATCTGCCTCGAACATGGCGGAACACGTTGTACGGAGTGTAGTATTGCCAGAGAGGAGTGCGGTGGCTTGTCCGACCTTATAAACAATGTCATATTTGTAACATACACTCAGGGTCCTTTGTTGCGCTGTGAAATGTATATATTTTGAAAACTGTACTTTAACTGTAACTGTATTTTAGGTAAACATAGCGGATGAATAAAGCTGTATCACCTTTCATGTGTGCAGCTGCTAATACTAACTAGCCTAGCATTGTGAACTAGGGCCAACTAGGTGAGCTCTGAAGCTGTTTAAATCGGTGCTTCTGTCATCCTACAGCTCTGTACACTTTCAATTATTCCTTACTTTAAAGTATCTGATGGGGCCCATCAGCTGGTTACTGAGCCGTTTGTGAGCTGATCAGGTCTGTCAGAGTTGGAAATCGTGGAATCTGCGGTGCTGTGGGTCAAGAGAAACAACGTTGTAGCACAGGCTAATCACAATGAAGAGTGGAAAATAGCACCAATTACAGCCAGCTATGAGATACTGCTGCTGTGAGATAGTTGATAAAAGCAATGTTTAATCTCTACAAAAGGAATAAGGTTTACCTGTCATCGTTGGCCATTCCATTGTGGGGGTTATGAAGGCTGTTCTAGCTTTTGTTTCTACCCACAGAGTGCCTCTGTCTCAGTCACTGAAAAGCTTTATATCTCGTCACCCTAGTTTACAGAATGCTGCTGCTCCAAAACACTATCTCTACATTAATACAATGAATTAACTTTAGATATTTAAGCAGTTTAGTTTCATTACCAATATGACTAGCCTGTAAGCCTTTTAGGGGACACTGCTATGCTTGCTGGTGCCAGCGTCTGCAAACCCGAAAGGGGGTACAGCTTTGTTCATTCATAAACAGCCAAGTTTATGTTTTTCAGTGCTCAGATAAGAGTTATATCATTTTACACAGGTCAACACAGAACCCATAAACATGTGTTACATTAATAACTTAAAAGGAATATGACAAACATTGCTCATAAAGGCATATATGCCAGTACAAATCTGCTCCTACAGCAAGCAATATGTAAACATTGTCAAAGTTTGAAAATGTACCATTCATTACCCAGTCCTGACACTCCGTTTGTGGAATCTAAACTGCAAAAACAGCCTGTTTTGAATTTGTTTTTTGTGGTGTCACAATAATCAGGTCATTTACATCTGTCCACCTATTCAACCTTCAGCAGTTTGGCTCCACCTGTTCACACTGAAGGTATAAGGTGTGTTGAGTGCTTTTTGTAAGAGGCACGATACAAAACAGTACAGTTAGAACAGAGCAAATTTATAGATGAGTAACAAAAATAGTTTGTTTAATTCTAAGGAATAAAGAGAGGTTGGAAAATGGTCTTGTTAAATTGAATTATGCACATTTTTGACACATAAAATTACACAAATAATAAGATAAAGTTATGAGTGGACCTCAAAGAAAAATTTATGATATAAGACTAATTTAGGATATGGGCCCTAAGAATGGCAAGAACCTACCTTTTTTCAGAATTGAAAAGTTTTGACTGTTGGTCAGTTTTCATTTACCAGGGTACCAGGAATGCAAATGCTTTAAAAACTGGTTCTTACCCCAGCATGTTTATTTAGTATTGTATTGTATATTGTATGTGTGCGCACACAGGCTGAGGCAGACCAACAGCAGCATGAGGACAGGTTGGAGAAGCAAGAGCAAGAACACAAAGCCAGTCTGCTCGCTCTGGAAGAGAAGAGCAGAGATGGAGAGAACCAGATCAAGGACCTAAAGGAGACCATCTTTGAGCTGGAGGACCAGGTGGAGCAACAGAGAGCAGTTCGACTGCACACCAACCAGACCATTCTGGACCTGGAGAGTATGAGCATTACTGTTTGCTCTCTTTCCCTCACTCTCTCTTTCGCCTTCTCTTTCTCTCTTGCTCTCAGTTCATTTCAGTTCAAGATAGTTCAGAAAAAAATTGTGGCTCCCCAGAAAACAGCCATAGTGGCAAGAGTGGAGAACACCTATTAAAAATGTACAGCTTTCTTTCCATCTGTCTCCCTTTCTTATGTAACTGACTACTTAGCAGTTTTTTTTTGCTGCCATCTTTAATACATATCACTATATTCTCCAAATATATCTGATTTTCAGTTATATCATGGTAAGCAAGATTTGATTGTTTCTTTCTTTCTTTTTCTTAAAATTACACTAAAGGTAACCCTACCCAGTACTTTAAATGTTAATGAGACGGAAACCACATTTATATAGTTTTATGGACTTTGAGCCGTTACTTCAAAACAGTCTGAAGCACCCAGCAGTCAATCCTGCACAACATGTGAAGAGTGTTATACAGAATGAAAGAACTAGAAACTGCTCAGCAATTTTATTAAATAGAACATTGCCATGGAACTGAAAATCAGTGTCTCAGTGTGACACCAGTATCAGTATTGACAGTGTATCACTCTGCACTGCACTTACGGTTCCCTAAAAGTGGAGGACACTTCTGAAAAATGGAAAACGCTCTTTCTGTCTTTTCTTTGGGGGCTTATGTAATTCACTGAGTAGCTGCTTTCTCTCAGCCATCTTTAACACACTGGAGCAGCTGCTATAAACCGCCTATGTGTGGCTGCCCAAAGATACACACAGTAGCAGAGCCCGTTGTGGTTCATAATGCGGAAGGATTGGACACGGCAGCCTGGCTGGACTGATATGACTGAGCTGTGTCACTCTAATCTCTCTCACTCCGTTTCTCTCACAACATTTGCCAAACCATTTAACAGAGGAATCTTTTACATACCAAGCCTGTCTCTCACACTCTGTCTGTTTCTCAGCAAAGTAATACATGTGCCTCTTTAATATTCTTTGTCAGTTGAGAATTTTAAATAGCATACAGTACTGTGCAAACGTCATAGATCGCTCTTCTTTTATTTGATCTCTTGTCAAGTTATTTACTTTTATTTGATCTCTGTCAAGCTATTAACTTTTATTTGATCTCTGTCAAGTTATTTACTTTAACTTACTTTTCAGGAGATATTTCTGAGGATAAAGTATGAAATAATCCATTTATTAAAGGAAGGGGAAAGTCAACAGAAGAAAAGAAAATGAGATTCCTTGCAACCACACATCCAAATCTTTATATATTAAACAATGGGGTGGGGCAAAAATTTATTTTGAAGTCCTAATCCAGATAAAGACGTTTAATTTTGGGGCAGGGATGTAGATATATGAGTAAGAAATTGATTCAGTTGATTAAAATGATTCATAATTTGTTTAGTTTCTGTCACACTGTACACTTTTGTAATTATATTACGTTTATTAAAAATGATGTAGTCACCTCTCAAAACTCCAAGAAACAAATAGGGTAATTCAAAATATAATTCTCACAGCCTTGATTATTTTCTGTAATTTACTAATGAAGTGCTTAAATACCTACCAGAGAAATCAAGAGGTAACAAAGCAGACTTTGCATTACCGTCAGGTAATGTTACTAGCAGATGATATTGCAGATGATAATGCGCTAAATTAGACATGTGTCTTTGAAAATTTTGCTCTGAAATCATTTAAATGATCAGTGTCATTATCAAATAAACATTAAAATTGTAATGTAAAACACAATAAAAAGGCTAAATTAATTCAGCTAAACCTCTGTACCAAGTGTTTTTTGCCTGCCCTGGAACACCAACATGCCAGACTACAGCTGCCTGATGGAAATAACAATGTTCCTAATACGTGCATTTTTTCTATTTACCATAGCGTTTCAGCATGCTTAAAATAAATAATGTTTTTAATCTGTTAAATGCTCTTTCACTATTGTGTTTTCAGACTGTTTTATGCAATTTCACTGTGTTTTATGCAGTTTTACTGTGGCTTTCCTCAAGCTTGGGACTAGCACTAAGGGGCATTGCTCCACAAACCCATAGTTTGTGTTTATGTCTGTATGATTTAAAAATGTCTTCAAATGAGCACAGAAAAGCTACACTAGGCAGTTTGAGTTACTCTTTTCGGTGCTCATTTCATGTTAAAAGAGAGTGGAATCTTTACACAGTTTAAGTGAATTTAACATTCTCATGTGCAGCTCAATTTGGCTCCTGTTTTTTTCAGATCAAATCAAGAGGCTGGAGGAGCAGAAGGTTGAGCAGGACAAGCAGATGAAAGCCATGAGCAAACAGATGAAGGTAGGATTTCTATGAACGATTTTGTATCAGGGAATTCATAGAGTATTCATTGCAAGTAAATAACCTTAGGGAGGATTGATGCAAAGTGTCAGATTTAATCTTGTCAGTGTGAAATGACAACATGGTGCCATATTCATATCACGGTATATTTTGACGGATAACTGCAGGTATGATTGCAATTTTCGGTGCCATTCCTCGTTAATCACAGTAATTGTATGTGACATAACCATGACCAGCTAATTCTGGTTTTTAAGGTGGACATTTCCCCTGGTACACCAAGTTGGTAACCTGCCCAGGTCTGATTATTTTGTTTTGCTTGTGTGTGTGTGTGTGTGTGCTGTTCAGGAAGAGACGGAGGAGTGGCGGCGTTTCCAGGCTGATCTGCAGACAGCAGTGGTTGTGGCGAATGATATAAAAGTGGAGGCTCAGCAGGAGGTGCGTGCACTGCGGAGGAGGCTGCAGGAGGAGCAGGAGCGCAATACCAGACTAGCCTCAGAGCTAGAGCAGATTCAGGGGGCCAGGTACAGTACCACTCCCAAACAGCAGAGGGCCCCACTAAACGCACTCAATCCACTTGATCTCCAGTGTATAACCTTGTCTCTTTTGCTCTGTCCCAAAGTCCACACATGCTGAATGTAACAACTGAACCAAAACATCTGACATTTTTTTCTTTAGTTTCTTTCTTTAGTTCTGCACTGGAGCTATGGTGCTAATGTAGCTAATAAGTAAGCAAAGCTTATACCAATTAGAATAATGAAATCTGCATGCCTGAGTTATCACACACTTGCCTCATTCCATATTGGAGTTGTTAAGTAATATTTCAACCTCAGTTTTCAAACATTTTCACACGGCGCGACATACGACTATCAAAAATTGTAGTTGCAGCCATCTTGACGCCTGAATTTTGTCTGTCCTGTTGTCTGTTCACATTTGTATGGCAAAAGAGTGGATATGTATTTTAATTCTCTGGGACAACTAGTTGCAGAAGTTATACAGTGCTGTGCCAAAGTTAGAGACCGCCATTTCATTTATTTAATTGTAACACTAAGTGTTTAAGCTGCAAAAGACAATGAAAAGTGAAAACAGCAGGAGTAGTTGCATAGTTGAAAAGAAGCCATTACTGAGAAAAGGAAACATTTGTACTAGAAGACATCTGGGATGTAGAGTTTTTATGGACTGATAATTCTAAATTCGTAATTGGGATTGTGTGGATCGTAATAAGCAGTAAATACAACCAACGTCTAAGACTGAACCTCAGAGGTGTTTATATCCCTGCAGATTTCTTTGTAAAACTGAAAGTCTGTTGAAAAGAATGGATACTGTAATAAAGGCAAAGAGTGGACACACAAATTGGATATTATAATCAGATGTTGAGGCTTCTGTGTAATTTTCTGTTAATTGTGTTTTCTGCTTTGTTCCTGAAAATGAATAACTTACACTTGATGGTCATTTTGACTGGAATTGAAATAAATGAAAGGGTGGTTCCTGACTTTTGCGCAGTACTGTAAATCCTGCATTTTCTTAATCTTTCTTAATGTGCCATACAACCAATAAAACATCAACAATTGTAGCTTAAATACAACTTAGGTGAGATATTGGGAAAAGGATGCGTTCACTGTGCTTTTGACGTTTGAGAAACGGTGCACACTTGAACACTTGCCGCAGATCACATGAACAAGCACACAAGTACCGAAACCAGAAGTGTGGACTTTGGGACAGGCCATTTGATTCCCACCTCTTTCTCAAAAACCACACAGTTGTATCTGTCATCTGTTCTAACCAAAAGGTTGGATTACATTTGGGTTCATTTTACATCCCTACACAGAATTACTACTTTTACTAAATATTACAAGTTAAGAGAAGATCATTCTGTTGTTTTTTTTTAGAGTTTTGGTCAATTATCCTATTTATTTGTACAGCAAAAAATCTCAAATCTCATAGTCATGATAATATTTTAATACCTAGATCTACTAATACGTGGGTCCACTCAAATCCAGTCATGGGATTTTATGGCTTATAGATTTAGGGATTTCTGCTAAACCCAGCTGAAGAACTGCCAAATCACAAGCAATGTTTCACCCACAAAACACTGCTTCTTTTTTATCTTCTGCTCTTTCTTATTCTCTTATCCTTTTTTTTTTGTTTGTTTGTTTTAATGTGTAGTTGCTGCAAAATCCTGTTCTTTCGTCTTACACTTCTGCATTTTAATCCAGTTTGACAGCTGCTGTCTGGGCTATGGACCCTTACTTCAAACACATATGCATGTTAAGACTTCATACATTTACAAATGGCCCAAAGCACACACACATACACACAGCGTTCAGTTTCACACAACAGATAATGTAGAAGTCTGTAGTAGTTGTAAAGTAACAGTTTTGAATCTAGATTAACAAATAGAGTTATACTACATTACATTAAATAGTGTTTGGCCAGAAATATATTCAACATAAACGCAAATGCAGTGAACTAGTGAGAGACTGATCGACCTGCTGGTCTGCTATGACAGTTGATCAGGAGAAAGCATGCTAGCATTGCAAGACAGTTTGGCCAGGTTTGGCTGTTGGTATTTAAGTGCCACTTGCTGCAATGCTCAGAACGTAGGTTGCGCTTTCATTACATTATGACTTGGGTGTTGATACATTTTAGAACACAATGATATGTGAAGCAATATTTATGCAACTCAACTCGTCTGTATTTGTGTACTCGCGTGAGTATATTTCTGGCCTTATGCACAGTGTTCATAGGACAGTTAATATCCCATTAATATCCCACATACTGTGTCCATAAACATGCGTAAGAGTTGTTCTTACTGAGCAGCCTAGTCCTAGATATAACCACAGAATTAGTCCTAGTTAAAAATTAGGGTGGATGATTTATGGAGTAGATGATATGGAAATGTCATCACAAGAAATTGTAACCATGTGCATTTCTGCATGTTTTCCTTTAGTAGTTCGAGATCACTAACCAAGTACACATAAAAAACGCTTTAGCACAACCAGAGGTGTTACTGTCAAACAGTTATCCAATTAGTTCATGTTGTCTATATTTATTTATTGATCTATTTATTTATTTACAGTTTTATGACTTTCCTCCTAAAAGTATATATTTCCTTGTAAACAGTGAAAACCTGTACCCCTTTTAAAAGAAAAGGTTTTTGCTGGTGCCTTGTTTGTTCCAGAACTTGTTCACTAGCCTCAGAAAAACTAAACATTAACAGTAATATTTATAGTATGTCATGAAAACATCTTCAGCTGTTGTGATATTTTTGCCTTATCACCCACGAATTTAAAAACCCATTTTAGTCATAGGCCTGTCATGATAAAGACTGAATGTATAATTATAATTGTCATGTAAATAATTGTGGTCAACAGTTTAATTGTCTTTTTCATTCATTATGCAGTTGATAAAGTTCAAAACTAAAGTGGCCAAATTGGCCAATTAGCTATGTTGTTTCCTTGCTGTCAATGTATAATAGCTCCTAACTGACAACAGAAACTGCTCACGCTCAAATAAACAAACATTACTCACTGCTGCCATCTACAGCTGTTACAACACTAGTTAGAAGTTAGAAATTGTGTTTTTTTGTTTTCTTTTATTTACGTGTATTTGCATCAGCCCAACTGATGAAAACGCACCTAATTCACATTCTGACTGTTGTGATGTAAACATATTATTGAGAAAGCTAACAAATAATTGCATCTGCTTAAATACAATCAGCTCAAATAGTAGCAATCAAGTGATTTTGTAGTGCTTGTGACAGGCTTGTGTGGTCTAAGACTAGGCTTAATCTGTCTAGGAGTCCAGTCTCAGGGGTTGGCTGCTCCTGCATTGTAAAGTGTCCTGTGCCCTAGTGTGTGTAATGTCCTGTCCAGGCTGTTGGCTGTTCTCTCCATGTGTCAGTCCTCCTGCATGAGTCTGCTTAGCGGTAGCTTTTCAACCGTTTCTTCCTCCACACACCACTCCACTCTTTGACTTACAGTAGCTTTCCTGTAGGAATGGTTGTAGTCATTTATTGAATACTGATCTAGGGATTGATTATAATAATTACGCTGTTTTTTTCCAGGGTTATGGCAGATAAGTATATCAGATCAGTGTCTGATAAATGCATGTTTGATTTTAGCAATATAGCTGAAGTCATAGTTAGGCAGAAAATCGAATTTATGCTTTTTTTCCCCATTATCCCAAATGTAATTGATCAGCCAAGACATGTTTGTGTCCGAAGTTTGCTTCTTTAGATTCGCAGTGGAGTTACAAGACTAATCTGGAGCATATTCTTCGCAATTTGCATCTTGCAAACTACATGATTCATCAGACACTTGCTTTAAATTGTGTTGAGTTGTTAATCTCCAGTAGACCTGCTTATGTGGTTTGTGATACTATATGACACACTGTTCTGAATCTATGAAAATGGACTCGAGCATGTACAGAATTTAAGTTAGCTGCTGCTAATATAGTTTAGTTATTCTTTTGTCCCATTTCATATATATATGAAATATAAGCATGTCATACAGTTTCAGAACCCACATAAGCTAGTCTATTTGAGATTATGGTAACACTTAGGGTAAGGCAGTGTTCACAAGCCTACTTGACTCTTACGTAAACTTGTCATAACATTGACATGAACCTGCATAAACATTTATAAAGACGTATTCCATCCGTTAGGCTAATTTTGTCAAGTATGATGTTGACCTAACATATATGTTATGTGACAGATTTTTTTTCTTACATTGGGTTGTGTTATGACACTTTTATGTGACATGACACATAATAACAACTGACCTTGTGGTTTATTGTATATCTTAACTTAGCTTAAGTCTTATAAGTGGTAAAATGAAACTCACTTTTCCTAAGGGCCAGTATTTGTGAACAACATTACACACACATACATTGCCCATGACAATAACATGAGATGTTTTATAAAATGAATAAACTAAAGTGACAGACATTTGTTCTGTCTTTCTCAAGTCATTTATGAACATTGTTATGAAGCATCATTCTCAAGATAGCAGGGTTTGAGTAAAGGCTTACCCAAAAATATCACCTGACATAGTTTATATGCCAACTAGACATCGAGCTTGGCAACGTTTGTGACAAAGGACACGTGTTTCTAAACGTTTCTGGAGGTCTTTGTCAGTGCTACTGAGAATACACCTCAACCCTGAGTATGTTATAATTGAGACAGGCAGTTTGCAAGATGCAGATGCATCATGTGTCAGTTATACTGTCCTCATTGCCCCAATGCAAAACTAAAGAAGCAAACTTCAGACGTCGAACAAGCCTCAGCCAACTTTATCTGAAGCAATGGGGAAATTGTGCAAATGAGATTTTTTGCTGAACTAGTGCTTAAAGTCAAAGCAACGGTATGTGATAGTGCATCATAAGAATATGTACAAAAGGTGTAGTTACTATCTGTCAGTGATACGTTTTTTAAGTAGTGCCTTTGGGTTGCCAGATCATTAAGGATCTGCATACACCTGTATTTTACTCTCCCTACTGTGCACAAATGGCCAGCGTACCTCGC